GTATATATATATATATATATATATATATATATATATATATATATATATATATATATATACATATTTGACATTGAAAATTTAAATATTTAAGTATTTAAGGACCAAAACAAGAATGTTCTCTCTTAGAGTGAATCAGTAAAAATGTTTTAGATTGAGCCAGTAAAAAAGTATTTCACCGATAATCATTGAATATTCACTGAATATCTACTGAATTTAGTAAAATGAAATTAACGGCCTGCATAACGGTGATTTGCATTCAACGGTACTGTCTACGTTTGCAAACTGCATCAATGATAAGAATAGTCACTACTATTAGCCGGTATTTTTAGCATATAGTGTAGAATATATTGATTGTACTTTAGAGAATACAACGAGTTGTAAAATGATTTAGACACAATAAAGTTGAGAGTTCATAAAACTGTCAAAATTGAAAGTCACTAACCGGCTCGCCGGCTTGAGTAATTATTTTATTGATTATTATTATTATTAATTTGGTGAGTTCCCAACTTCATATTCCCAGATAGACTTCCTTCATTATTACGACAATGAGACAATCAATGATGGGAACTTTACAATGCTTTTAATTACATTTACGAAATAAATGTACTGTATTAGATTAATTATGAAATTTATATCACACAATAATGTGAATTTGTTATTGCATTGATGCAGCAACAAATTTACTGGAAAGTTACATTCAGATTTCCATATTGCATCTAACGTGACATATCGTTTGTAACAAATTTTGATAACTTTTTTGTATTTCTACCTTGTTATTCTATATGATAAATATGAGTAAAATTTAATTGATCAAAACGGGCTCCACATTGCTGAATTTTGTTTCGATATATTAAAAATTGCTGCAGAGTTTACATACATCAATTTGTCGGAGTTGTATCTGAATCGTTTTGCGATCCACTGTACATGTCCAGACATTGGTGTACTTTTACCTTACTTCGTGTTTCTCATCCAAAAGGGAGACTCGCACTTAAGAAAGAAATATTTGCACTTGCCTGATTGTATCTTATCGAGGAAAAGTTAGACTCCGAAAGTGCGCACGGCAATCACGAGCGGGAATTGCGTTTATCGCGAAAGGTCCGTTTTATTCCTACATGCGTCTCCAGCGATTATCGTCACATCAGCCTAATTGACAATGTGGGCCAGCCGTGTACGTTAATTGACATAACAGTTAAAGCCACTGTAATCCGTAAGCAGTTATCCGGTAACCTCGCGTACGTACAAGGTCGCAAAGTTTTTTTTCCCTTGCCGACGAATTTCCGATCACGATATCGTGGATTTCTTGTCGATTAGTCCGACAAGAACACGCGAGGTCGTTTTGCCGCTCCACAAAGACCCATCGAAACTACGAGATAGACACGCGTAACCACGAAACGATAACGATGTTCATTCCATAGAATTGCAAGTAGGAATTGCGAACGAAACGGAATCGCGCGTGCACGGTTACGTTCAAACAAGAGAACGGAGGGACAGAGAAACAGAGAGACAGACAGAGAGAGAAAGAGAGAGAGAGAGAGAGAACTCGCAATGTGTGAGTAAATATAGATCTCCGTTAAAAGTTTGTACAAAGCACTCGATATTCTTCGTGCCAGATTCTTCGGTATCGGGATCTTTCACATTCTTCGGAATTAGATCTGAGTTTCTCGAATCAGAGATACGATGTCGTAAAAGAATACGTTGTCTGCCTATTACGTGTATAATCGTGTTTAATAAAAGTCACCTGATGTGCGATTCGAAAAGAATAATATTTAATTGACAAAGCTTGGAGCTCGCGTGGAGAGCTCTCTCGTGCCTCCTACGTTAACGATAACTCTGATTTCGATCACACGAAGTTACGAAGGAACAAAAGCGAGTTGCTCGCATGAAACAAACAGCAAGCCAATAATCGCGACGTTTCGTCTGTAGTGTTCGTCAGTGATAAGGGAAAGGAGAAGAGGATAATTCGCTCGAAAACGAAGCACTGACAGCGAATTCGTGAGTAAATACACGCAAAGACGAGAGAGAGAGAAAGAAAGAGAAAGAAAGAGAGAGAGAAAGGAGAGAGAGAAAAAGAGAAACACAGCAAGTCTTACAAAGCGCTGCAGATAACGCAGCTCGCGAGAAACGGCGATGTTCGACAACTCAAAAAACATGGGGTTAAAGGGTAGCGCGAGAGTGCCGATGCTCTCACGCTGCACCGCCTACGAACAACGCGACATATAAAGATCCACGTCCGCGACGTGCGTACATTCTGCTTGATGTCCGCTATGATTCTCTCGTCCGATGTCGAATTCCCTCGGTACGGCTCGTCCAGGCACTCGTTCTCTCGAGTTTTTGGAAGCGCGCAAATGCACTCGACAAATGCTGCGACTCGACGGCGAGGTCGGGTCGCGAAGAAGGGGACTCGAAAAACGGGATCTCGTATTCACACGTATACAAGCCGAATCTCGTCGGGCCCGCGACGCGAAGGAACAAAAAAACGATCAGGTTAGAAGATTGTCTGGTCCACGATCGCGGATGGGAAGCGCGTCGTGCTGAGGATCGCGAGGAACTTACCGAAAGGAGATGGTCGTGGCAGCGGCGAGGCTCCCTTGTATCCAGTGCTGGGTAGACCAGTTAAAAAAATCCTCGTGGTGACACCGCCGCTGTTCTCCAGGCTACATCGGCGACGAACGCACTCTCCTCTCTCTTTCTCTCTCTCTCTCTTTCTTCCTCTCCCACACTGTTCACCTCACGGCCGTGATCGACGCCGGATCACGTTGACTGTAGCCGCACGCTCGCGCGAGCTACGGAGCTCGGCTCGACAGATCGGCACAAAATCGTGTAAATCACATTGGACACTACGTTCGACCGTCAGCTCGCTTCGAGGATCATAGACCAGCTGTGTTTTTGCCCGACCGTCGAGCAACTCGCGCATGCGTTGGCGGCCGACGCGCCGCCATCTTGCGCGCGGCGCCGAACGACAACGGCGCGTGATTCAAAGTAGCATTTGAAACGTTCAAATAGTCGAACAATCTCGATTGATCGAAATTCAAGATTGATCTGCGTGTTGTTCAGGTTTTTCGAGCATGAAGGTGTATTCGAACCGTTCAAACTGTGCAGTCAGTCGATACATCCTGAAAAGTACAGGCAAAAGTTGTTGATTTTCTGTTTAAAACGAATATGTTCGTTTGAGAAGCGGTACAAATGAAAATTTCGTAATCTGAATCGTGCAATGATGCTAAAAGTAAGCAAAATGAAGACTACCTAGTTATAAAAAATCGGGCCCCTCCGGGATTTGAACCCGGGACCTCCTGCACCCAAAGCAGGAATCATACCCCTAGACCAAGAGGCCAGATGAATGGATGATTTCTAAAAACATTCATCCAGATAGCACGGTTTCGAAAATTTGGTGTAATGCAATCTAAATCATATTTAGGAATATTTACATATTGATAGCCAAAAGAGAAACATATTTCTAAACGTGAACCTGTCGTAAAACACATTCGGTCGCACATTAACAGCCATATTCGTCGGTATATTAGTAACTATCGGTAAAATTGTATTGATTCGATTTAATTTGACTCTTTCAGAGGGCGCCACTGATCATTGTCGACGGTGGTTTAAGAAATACTAGAGTTGAATTTTGATGAAAAAAGAAATTATGTAAATGGAACAACTAAAAACGTCGATATTTCATAAAACATAAATATCCGAAATACATCCCAGAGGCGTCTAAAAAATATCACATCGTCTTTGAGATATGTCTGGGATGTATTTCGGACTTATAATTTGCTAGAGTTGACCATTAAAGGGATGCTGAAGATGAAAACTTTACCGACAGAACATTGACATTTTTCTGCAAAGTTTACGTCGTATTGGTTATACAGAATTACAAATGCTTTTACGCAATGAAAGTACGTGCAAAAATAAATAGGAGCATTGCTCGATATATGACGAAAACGAAGAAAAAATTTTTAATGTAAAATCTCAGGCTGTCAGTTAGCGTAATATTTGCCTTATCCAAAAGTTCCGCAGCTTGTACATATTGAAAGTGTGGATGCTCCAAACAAAAAAATTTTGAAGAACATTACTCTACATTCGTATCTGCATTTGGAAGCTTAAAAATATCGAAAAAGTTTGCAGAAAGATTCCCACACATATATAGTTAGGTTTTCCGTTGAATATGGTAAAACAAAGCAACATACATTCATGTAAGTTCTGTATATACAAGAAATACAAAAAGGATAGCGTGATTATGTTAGTGACGATCGTCTCTACATTATCGACATTGTTCGAGTTCGTCATCGACTCCAGCATCTCCTTAAAACATTGGCTACGTTCAGCAGAGAAAGCTGCTTTGCAACTGTTGTAAAATTCGTGAATCTGATTGGTATATGCTCTTGGATTTAACCAAAATTTAGAGCATACTCCAATCAGATTCACGAATTTTACAACAGTTGCAAAGCAGCTTTCTCTGCTGAACGCAGCCATTATGTTACATAAACGCGCTACTATCACGCTATCTCCCAGACAGCACAAGTACGTTCTATGAACATTCTGAAAATAATATTGAGGATATTTAAATGTTCATAGAATATTTTCACATGATGCTTCGAAGTTCCTAATAACTTCCAAGAGAATATTCAAAGTAGACAAAAAGTCACGTTCTATAAACGTCCTATGAATATTCTAAAGAATATCTTACAAATATTCTAAGCTCTTTCACAGTACATTACTCACATAGCACGTAATATTACACAGTAATATTGCAATATCTCAGTAATATTACATAATTTCACTTAGTGAAAAATAAAGTATTATTTTGTCTAAATAACAAAAAAAATTCATATTTTTCATATTTTGTGTCGTTTTATTTGTGAGATTTACGTGGATTCGATCCCGTGTCAGACGGCGCCATTTTTATGATTATATTTAGATGACTATCCTGTTCAATGCTTAATCTCAACGATCGTACAGGAACTATGATAGTGATGCCAATGCGCTGTAACAATATCTTGATGGATTATATTTACAATATATTCTTATATCGTTCAAAAATGTAATGACATATTTGTCGGTAAATGTTTCAAAAGACGTAACAATAATCACAATGCGATTAATATTGATACAATATTGTATAAGTAATCAACTTTAACATACAACATGCTCGCAAAAGAGAGAGAATATTCCTTCTTTCTCTCTCGTAATATTTTGACAGAGTAATTACTCTGTAATTGAGTTCTCAATTGAGATCTCAGCTGGATTTTTTCAATATGGCAAGTAGAACACAAAGTCATATAAAAATCAAAATGACGTCAAATGATATAAAAATGATGTCATTTTGACGTTACCAGGTATACAAGTATGAAATGCGGATTTTTTTTCCAAAAAAACACGGAATTAAATTCGGAAGAATGATAAAAAGAGGTTTATTTAAAATATGCTCCATTGCTAGTTACACATTTTTCCCATCTTTTGGGCAATTTATGGATACCACGCCAGTAAAAATCTTCCCCTTTTGCCGCGAACCATTCATCGAGCCATTTTTTCACATTTTCGTACGAACCAAAGCGCTGCTCAGCAAGTGCGTGACCCATCGATGCAAACAAGTGGTAATCAGAAGGAGCCAAGTCTGGTGAGTAAGCCGCATGGGGTAGAACTTCCCAGCTGAGTGCTTCCAACGTGTCGCGAACCGGTTTTGCCGTATGTGATGGAGCATTGTCATGGAGAAAAATGATCTTGTGTTGCCTCTTTTGGTATTCTGGTCGTTTTTCAAGCAGCGAACGGTTCAAATCGATCAATTGTTGTTGGTAGCGTTTGGTATTAACCGTTTCACCAGGCTTTAACAGCTCATAATAGACCACACCATTCTGGTCCCACCAAACACAGAGCATCGTCTTCCTGCCAAAATGATTCGGTCTTGCGGTCGATGTGGATGGTGCGCCTGGGTTTACCCATGATTTTTTGCGCTTGGGATTCTCAAAATAAATCCACTTTTCATCCTCAGTAACGATACAATGCAAAAACGACTTTCTTTTGTATCGTTCGAGCAAAATTTCACATGTGTTTTTGCGCCTCTCCATCTGCCTCTCGTTCAACTCATGTGGTACCCATTTGCCGATCTTCTGAATCTTTCCCATCTCTCGTAGGCGATTGGAAACAGCTTGTTGACTAACGTTCAATTGCTCTGCGAGTTATTTTTGTGTTTGTGAATCATCTTTGTGCAACAATGCTTGCAACTCCACATCTTCGTATCTTTTTGGCGGTTTTCCGTATTCCTTGTTTGCAACATCGAAATTACCACTTTTGAAACGCCGAAACCATCGTTCACGCGTATCTTGCGATGGAGCATGTTCACCATAAGCTTCTCGAAGTAATCGGTATGATTCAGCAGCAGTTTTCTTTAAATAAAAACAAAAAATTAATGCTGTCTGCGAATGCTCTTTATTTGGTATAAATTTCGACATATTGAACACAGCAACACAACACTATGCAAATACTTTTTCAATTTATCACTCATGCGCGTTTGACACTTGTTGATGGCACAACAAAATGGCATAAATGTCAAATCTTTATACCACACACGGCATTGGTGCGCCATCTGTTTTCTCAAATTCGCATTTCATACTTGTACACCTGTAAACAATACCATTTTCATAACAATTTCAAAACATTGATGTCAAAATGATATCATTATAACATCAAAATGATTTTGTGTTGTACCTGGGATGCTCATTAAAATATGTAAGCTTGTAACTTACTCATAACCTTACTGCAATGTTCGGTGAAGGTTTATTAAAATGATGTAAAGATTTATTAAAATGTTCTTAGAATATTCTGAAAATTTACCAAATAATATTTTAATAACATTTATAACATTCTTAAAACGATACAAGAATATTCTTTCCGAATATTTTCTAGATGCGTAGAATCTTGTTAGAATATCCTTTGAATATTCTGTGCTGTTTTAATAGAATATTCTGAGAACATAACAAATAATATTCCAATAATATTCAGAACATTCTTGAAACTATGTAAGAATATTCTTTCCGAATATTATCAGAATATATAGAAATTATTTTGTTAGAATATTCTCAGAATATTTTGTGCTATCTGGGCTTAAGAGGATGCTAGAGCCGATGACAAACTCGAACAATGTCGATAATGCAGAAACGATCATTACTAACATAATTACGCTATCCTTTTCGTATTTCTTGTATATACAGAATTTACATGAATGTGTGTTGCCTTGTCTTACCATATTTAACGGAAAACATAATCATATATATGTAGAAATCTTTTTGCAAACTTTTTCGATATTTTTAAGCTTCCAAATGCAAATACAAAGATAGAACAATGTTCTTCAAAATTTTTCTATTTGGAGCATCCACACTTTCAGTACATTCAAGATGCAGAATTTTTGGATTAGACAAATATTACGCTAACTGACAGCCTGAGATTTTACATTAAAAATTTTTTCTAAGTTTTCGTCATATATCGAGCAATGCTCCTATTTATTTTTACACGTACTTTTATTGCGTAAAAGCATTTGTAATTCTGTGTAACCAATACGACGTAAACTTTGCAGAAAAATGTTAGTGTTCTGTCGGTAAAGTTTTCAGCTTCAGCATCCCCTTAATATTGCAGGAAAAAGACGTCATTTTAGCGACAAAATGCTAAAATGTGGCACCTCCTTTTATAAATGTGCATAACTTAAGTTTGTTCGCATTGTTTGCACTTTTGATTTTGACACTTTTATATCTAATGTTCGTTGCATACTATACGTGATGAGCGAAATCCAATGAGAACTTTTCTTTTTTAAAAAAATCTAGCGTGCAACAGTGTTAGGTGTAAAAGTATTAAAAGTGCAAGCAACATGAACGAACCTATTATAGTTAGGCAGTCCGCCATATCGTACGCATCGATACTTCGAGAATCGCAAGCTCATCGATATACAGCTACATTCAATTGCGAGAAGGATCAGGACGTGGTATTTCGTGCTTGAAGAGCAGCTTTGCATTTCTCGGGATTTCAACACGGCAAATACGAGTCTCGTGCCTGAATTGTTGCCGTCGGAAGGTGAGTTTTGCCTGCTTGTTATAGAAAAATATCATTAAACGGTCACTGAAAGTGAATATCTCGTCGAATGGGTCGTCAGTAATGTCGGACGAAGAATTGCCTAACCGTCATTTAATGGCGGCTCGAAGTTCAAACTTTTACCCGTTACGTTTTGGGTTTACAGGAACAGATTTACGCGCGAAATATCATTGGTGGTGCCGAGAATAAGCATTTGTTGCGGTGATACTATTGTAAAGAACTGCGGGAAATGAACATCGTGTAGTACATGAGCTGCCAGGGATGACGGATCGGATTCAACAAGTTACGACAAGTTTAGAATTGAAACGGTTTTCCAGTGAAGGAAAAATTGGTAAGTAACTTTGAAGCAAACGCCGTAATAAACAATGTGGCACTTTTAAGTCTATATTACTCGAAACCTTTCTCAAGTAAGATACTCAGGTTGAATTCTAAAACGTTCTGTTTGAGGAAAATTTTACTAAAAATCTAGAGTTTTTCATGTTTCATATATACTATAGATTTTCTCCAAAATTTTCATGAAAAAGGACGTTTCCTCAAAAAGAACATTTTAGAATGCAATCTCAAATTTGAACTTAGAGTATATCTGAAATTCTTATTTGAATTACGTGACACGCACACATTACATTTGTAATTGTGATTCAACCAAGAAACTTGCATCTAACTCTAAATTCCAATTTAGATATTTTATATAAGATAAATCTGAAACTTATTTTATATGAGATACTCAAATTTGAATTCAAAATTAGACACAAGTTTTTCAATTAAATTAATATATGTGATATTTATACTTGTAATCGTGATTCTATTGAAAAACTCTCATTTAACTCTGAATTCAAATCTGAGTATCTTACTTGAGATGAGTTTCGAGTAATAATTATTAATACCAGTCTAAGACATGTATTAATAGTCATTATTTGACATTTTTTTTACGTAAAACTCAGATTTGAATTTTTTATTTCAATCATATGAGACATAACATTTGTAATTGTGTCTCAACTTACATCTAATTTTAAATTCAAATTTGAGTATCTCATCTGAAGCAAGTTTCAAATAACGACTATTGATATAGGTCTTCATCTTTCTGACTTTTGCAATATCGATCACTTAGGTCCATGTTAATAATCATTACTTAAAATTTGCCTCACGTAAAATACTTAGACTTGAATTCAGAATTAGATATAAATTCTTCAACTAAACCATAAGTAACATATATAATATTTGCTTTTTCCACAATCGCTTTTCCACTGAGAAACTCACGTCTAACTCTAAATTCAAATCTGAAAATTTCATTTGAAATAAATTTTAAGTAACAGCTATTAATACAGACCTGTGCATTATACATCATCGTTTCAATATAATAAAATAGAAATAATTGCGATATTGCGAGAATTGATATTGCGATATCAATTCTCGATATCTCTAATACATTCAATATAAAAATCACGAACATTCTAACATTTAGTTAAACATTTAGTTAAAGCAAAAAGATTAAAAACATTATGTACAGGAATAGGCAAAGATCAGTGCGTTTCACATACTTCTCTAGCTCTTTATTGGTGACATGTATAATACGTGCTCTAGGCGTATCGGTATTTTCCATTTAACAAAAATAATTACGAGTGAAAAATGGCGCAAAAAGTTCGATATCAAATCGGCGATATATACGACAACCACCAAGGCATTATTGATATATCGGTAGAACCGTCCCCGAAATTCATTCGCGTGTCTCACACATACACATCACGTTTCCTCGCGGATATATAAAGTATTATCGATACTCACCATTATAGGAAACGTAGCTAGCTAACTGATCTTTAATTGACAATCGGTAAACGTCGGGATTACAAAAATTCACGTTATAAGGCTCGGAAGTTTGAGTTGCGCGAACTATGTACTTGCTTACACAACACGGCGGTAATAGGATAATCAAACGTAGGAGCTGCAACTTCGAACGTTGTAGGCTTCCATTCGGCAACCCGCGGGACTCAAATTCTAATGGCCCGACTTCCAAGCCCCACTTATAGGGTTATCAAAAATTTATTATCCATCCAACGCGCGAAAATAGGTTTCCATCGCATAGAAAACCATTTCGCTTGCGTTACTTCGACAAATACGCGCATCTTATCCCATTCATGTTCACGTTGCTTCGACACATATACACATTTTATTCTGTTCTTGTTCGCGTTACTTCGACATTACGTGCATTTTATTCTCTTTCAATATTTACCTACACTTTCGTGATACGGATTATTCTACACTCAGACTACTTTGTTCCTCAGAATATTCATCCTATCGCGAAACGAAAGTCAGAACATTTTGCCTCGTGATCAACTGCAATTGTTGTTATCATGCCTATAAAACACTCCAAGATAATCTTCTAAGGGACAAAGTAATTCGAGTTTACGATATCGTAGTTGAATCTATTTGAGCTTCCTGGGACGTGTCGCTTAGCATTAGAGTGGCCGTAGTTTGCTGTCGGGAATTCTGGTCGATGCCACGGCCGCTCGGTGGCACATACGTCCACCACGCTAGGAAGAAGAAGAGAAGTGAAGCTGCTTTCCCGATAAATGCCAGAGCGAGCATATATCTGAAACATATTAGTAGACGAAATTAAATCAGGACAAATGTTTCACGTAGTAGCATGTTTCAACGGCATTAATGAGAATAAGTATGATAAATTGCAAAACTGCAACTTGCTGGAAGAATTATTTCTGCACCTTTCTATTTCTTCTTTCTAAAAGTTTTTTGAAATAATATAAAAGTTTTTTGTTCTTTAGTTATGATTATGTGGAATAAAATAAGTATAAAATTAAATATATAAAACTAAAATAATCAAATTAAAGCAAGTAACTAAATTATAATATTTGCTATAATAATTCGCAAATTACAATATTTTCTCGAGATATATTACTTGATAACATAGTAATGAGAAATAAGATAAAAGTATTATTATCTGGACACATATCTAATTGGACATTCTTATTATTTTGGTCTTTAATATGAATATCTAAACTTTCAATATGAAATGTATATACATGTATATACATACTTTATGTTAAAGATTTAAAATATTCGTATTTGAAGACTAAAATAATAAGAAACTCCAGAATTAGGTGTGTATCCGGGAATTGGTACTTTTATCTTACAAGGAAACCCATACAAATGTCTGCCTCCGATCTTCATGAACTTGTAATGTGTTATACTTTAGATCAAAATAACAGATACGTATTTTATTATATGTGCCCTTTCGCAAATTTAGGGGGTGAAATCCTCCTTTGAAAAAAATCGGTTTTTTTCATTCGAAGGGAATATAATGAAAACTATAAGAGATAGAAAAAAATATTTTGAATAAAAGTTGAATGGTTTGAAGAGTATTTTATAGAAATTATTAAAAAAAAAATTTTTTTGTTAATATTATAATAAAAAAAAATTTTTTTTTAATAATTTCTGTAAAATACTCTTCAAATCATTCAACTTTTATTCAAAATATTTTTTTCTATCTCTTATAGTTTTCATTATATTCCCTTCAAATGAAAAAAACCAATTTTCTTTAAAGGGATATTTTACCCCCTAAACTTGCGAAAAGGTACATATAATAAAAAACATATCTGTTATTTATATCTAAAGTACAATATATTACAAGTTCATGAAAATCGGAGGCGGACACTTGTGTGGATTTCCTTGTTAATTGTAGTCGAAAATATCCAAAAAAATCAGCATATTTCTCATCAGTGCCGTAGACGTGCGCACATTACGTGATTTGCCAACCTGCTCATATAGTAATTGTCGTAAACGAGGCACGCTCCTCTGCCTTCGCACGTTTCGTTCCACAAGATGCAAGTATCGTCAATGAGAGCACCGAATACCATGGGTGCCGGTATCGTGCCCAAAATCCGCACTTTAATCCATTGTATACCGAGAGCGAATGATCTCTGATCGTCTCGTACGACCCGCAATGTAGACGAAAGTGCCGGCATCGTACAAAGAAAAGTCATGAACATGTTGCAGAAGGCCAGAACGATGAATAGCCACAAGTACGAGCATGTACTCGTGCAGGTAGTATTGATAGCTTCGTATGAGAGAACGTCGCCGATTTCGCCGATCGTTAGATTCATCGCCGGTGCGTGTATGCAACTGCAATCTGTGTATAACTGCGAAAAATTCACTTAATATTTCATGGATATAAAGTTGGTTCGTGAATACATTAGGACGGCGCCAAAACTTCGTCGTTTTCCTTCGAAATTTTGATTTAAATAGAAGTATTAGGTAGAGATAAAGCGCAAGTCTCGAGATAATTGAAGAGAAATTGCTTCCTATGTGAAAAAGTATATCAAAGCAAATGTGGTTGTTTCGATAAGTGATCCTTAGGCTACGGCGTTATTTTTTTTATCAACGTTAATTACGACATAGAATCCTTCACCGATTGCGTTTTGTTTTTATTAGATAAGAAAAAATATTACAAAATATATTAGGTAATATTTAAGTAAAGTGTTTACTCGCAATTTCTAGTATTTTAACAAAAATGTTTCTCAAAAAATATTGTACAAAAACTATTCCTGAAGTCTTTTAAAGACCTCACGTCATAGTCTAAGGATTTATTTAAGTCACTTCGAAACATGTGGTAATCCTCGTGTTCGACTTTAATTGCACGTTCAACAAGTTTTCTAATAAAATTAATTTTCCATAGGAAGATCAAGTGTTGCTAAAATTAATTTTCCGCGGAAAAAATAGACATTGTTAAAAAATATTATACTATATTAAAACGTGCGAATACGTCAAGGGACAAAATTAGACCTACCTTGGCGTCGTTTATCGGTGTTTCCCGATAACATCCGGCATGACAGGGTGAATAATATGTGATTCCGTCGACGCCGCATATGGGGTCGAATTGCGATTTCGAACAGCCACAGCCGCTGTTGCAGACATTCTCCAGAGATAACGCGACTTTTCTGCAATAATAAGATATCATTTCGAGCGAGTAGCAGGTGCAACAAACGAGCCAAGTTTCGTGAGCAATTAATCAATCGCCACCACAGAATGTTTTACTAATTGGCACGCACTTGGTGGTATTATGATAAGGTACGGTTAATCCAGCAAAATCGAGATTCGGACAATTCAGAGCGAAGCACAGTGTAAAGACGATACAAGCGGCTGTGGCCAACAGGCAAAACTTGAGAATACCGGAACAGGGCAAGTTGAAGCGTTTTATCAGATAGCCACCGAGAAAGGTACCACCACCTCCCGCAGGCACGGTTACCAATCCTGAAAAAGAGAAACCCATTGTCAATCAATAAATCGTATCATGGGACTATAAATGTGAGTATTAATAATTATTACTTGAAACTCGTATCACAAATGAGATACGTAGATTTTAACTCAGTTTGATGAAAGTTTTTCAATTGAACCGCGATTGTGCATATATACAGGGTGTACCAAAATTATAGAAACAGTCGAATATCTCGAAAAAAAGCATTTTTTAGGAAAATATTTTAGACAAAAGTTAAAGGTTTCAGAAGATCTATTTAATGGCCGTATCAATTTTGATCTTGAGCGGTGCCGCCATGGTGAGGTCAACTTTACTTTTTTAAATAGAAACATATATTTTTTATTACGGAATTTTATTCTATGTAAAGAAACAAACAATTTTTGTCTGAAAAAATTTTTTATACCATCTCTATTTTCTAAGATATTTACGGAAATATCTACAAAATTATTGGTTTCAATAATTTTTTACTCGAATTCTATCAACTTTACCGAAAAATAGCAAGAGGTAAAAATTATTTATTTTCTTCCCATAAAGCTCTAAGAATTTTTTTAGTATTTTATTTAAACTTTTTAGTACTTCAAGAAAATGCAAAAAATGCAGTACTAAAAAGTTAATTAGAAAATCCTGAAAAAATTCTCAGAGCTCTAGAAAAAAATAAATAATTTTTATCTCTTGTTATTTTTCGGTAAAGTTGGTAGAATTCGAGTAAAAAATGATTGAAACCAATAATTTTATAGATATTTTCGTAAATATGTTAGAAAATAAAGGTGGTATAAAAATTTTTTCAAACAAAAGTTGTTTATTTCTTTACGTACGATAAAATTGAGTAATAAAAAAATACATGTTTCTATTTAAAAAAGCAAAGTTGACCTCGATTTGACTTTGGCGACGCCACCAAAGATCAAAACCGATACGGCCATTAAATAGATCTTTTGAAACCCTATAACTTTTGTCTGAAAAATTTTCCTTAAAAATGCTTTTTTCGAGATTTTCGACTGTTTTCATAATTTTGGAACCTTCTATCAAGTGCCACATATATTATAATTTGACTGAAAAGTTTGGATCTTTAACTCTGAACAAAAATCTGAGGCTCGTATCAATAGTTTGCTTCGTTTCAAGATATCGACTAATTTCGAAAATTATTCTTTACTCTTCTAAATTTCTTGTAATAAAATTTCACACGAAAAATAGAGTGACAGTCAAGTCACTCGAATTCGAGTTATTTTTCACTCCTATAGAGTGAATTCCTTACTATGAATCGTTGAATGAAGATTTTACTTGAAAGTGAAGAGTGAGTCTGATATATTCCACCGTTAAAAGAACATATTTACTTTAACTGATTTAAATATTTGTTGATATGAAGTCAGATAGAATGATATAAAAATTTATATATGATGAAATGATGAATCAATGGTCAATGATGAATTCTATCGATATGAAGTCAGATAGAATCCAATATAATCTTAAATTAAATATTCACTTGTTGTTTCGAGTGGCAGTTTTTTCACTATCGTCTCGAGTAAAAATACTATCATTTTTTACTCAAAGAAATTTAGAGTGTACTACACCACAAAACAACAAAGTAACACAATATGCGCGTGTGTATGTGTGCTTGGTAGATTGTTTAGTCGCGATAGACTATTAATCGAAATGCCACATTACTCACCCATCAACAACGCGGCCGAGCTGGCACTGACGCTGAATTGATTTTCAATCAGTTTCGGCAGGAAGGCAGCGAATCCGGCAATCAGCAACCCTTCACTGGCACCTGCCAAGTTCAGCATAAAAAATGCCGGATTTCCGAGTAGCTCAGTGAGGGCACGTGGCAGCTCACGTATTTTCGAAAACGCTTCTCCCGTTCCCGCGGTGGACGATCGAGTCGATTTCTCGTGCGCCTCCGACACTCTATCCTTCGCCAATTCCTCCGATCCTGTACGAATTATCGATCTCGTTGGTGAAGTTTAATCATGGTTACACTTTCAAGCCGACACATTAAAATTCATCTCACGGATATTTGATGGATTCGATTAAATACGCGGCAATATTCATACCTGGCAAAGCCGCCGGAAATGCTAAGACAGGCACCGCGATGATAAAGCAAATGACAGCCGCGGCCAAGAAACCGATCCACCACGCGCCAATCCAGACGTTACTGTCGGGAGTTAGTCCGATGCTGAAATTGGATATTTTTAAGTTTCAACCTGCCTGTTCAATTATTTACAAATAATTATCAGAGACAAAAATTCTTAGAGATAAAAGTGTATTTAGGTGGAAATAGATTTAGAACTTGTCCCATTTGCTTCGATTTTCTATTTCGAGTCTTCTCTTGCAATAGTAATGAACACGAGTACTCGCGAACAAAACTAGACGTCAATTAGTTCTCACTACATTTCCAAGGACAATGAATAAAATGGGCCGAATTTGACCTAAAAACTGTAACGTAAGTTAAACATGTATTAATAATACGTTTTTTGGATCGTTAAATACGACATTTCAACCTGTCTAAATTTAATATTTGTCTTAAAAGAGTCTAAATATATCATTTTTAATAGTAATTCGCTTAGTGACGATTTTGTCCGAATTATTTAATTACGTGTACTACAGTTTCAATTTTATAACTTTTGTTCACTGAAACCTGAGGAAACATTTTGAAATAAAACACTTCAGAAATCAATACGATATAAAAATTAAAAAGATAGTTAATTTTCTTGTTCAAAGAGTTTTAAGTTTCGTCAGATGTGCATACTTTATGTAGTTTTAAGAATGTTAAAATGACTAATGATGAACTTCCACACCCCCCACTATAGAGGTTCTACTAAAGAAAATTTAGAATTTCTGAAGTGTTTTATTTTCAAATATTTCCTTAATTTCCAGTGAAAAAAAGTTACAAAAAACTAAACTATAATACAAATAAATAATTAGAATAAAATCGTCACTAACCTAATTACTATCAAAAGTGACCTATTCCGACATCTTTGTTTTGATAGATTTTGAACACTTTAACTTAAGTTAAATAAATTATATACTACATGTATAATTTACGTTATTTTTCAGGCCAAAATCACCTCACTTTACTCATCGTTCTTTTAGCTTCAAATTTTGTCAAATTTTAAGGATGGAGCCAATCTCGACATATAACATTATACAAGCAATTAACTATAAATATTTACATACGGCCATGTTTTCGTGTTCAAACTTGGAAAAAGATTAGTTTTGGAATTATCTAATGCTCGACTATTTAATTATAAAAAAATTTTGTTCATCTTCTCAATCGTAAATAAAATATATGAAACAAGCAAATATTAAATAATTAGTATAACTAAATAATGGAATTAATAATATATAAAGTACATTTTATTTTTAATCCTGTTATTATTTTTATCGACGTTGGAAGTTTCAATAAGATGTAAAGAATTCAAGAAACTTGAAAAATTTAACACTAAATTTTAAAGACGATTTTCATAATTGTAAATTATTTACTAACTTCAATTGTGAGCATAATTAATCACGATTTGCTCGTATTTACGAATCGTCATTCCGTTTGGATCAGTGTTTCTTGCATTAAACATAATGAATAACGTACAAGTACAAGTACATGTTAACGCACATAATTAAAAGTTTACGAAGTTATAATTATTTGTCAAATAACGACGAAACTGTGACTGCCGTCCTCAATTTCCACTCAGACATTTGTTTACTCGCGATGTTCATCGAACTTCCATAGAAGTCGGAAATCTCCGCAATAAGTGATTTGATTCACCCGAAAATACATGATGCATCGCTACCTGCGTTCTTCGTTCCAGCTTTCTGATCCAGCCAGTATCCTCAATTCTCGACTGCTCTTTCATAGCACTTCGGATTCTCCCTCTAAGATGGCACATGACACTAGATACGTTGGCACTCGCGTAGAAATTCGATTCGCGCGTTCGTCAATGCGATACCGATAACGAAAAACGCGCTATGAACATTTGAAGAGTCGACGGAATAATTTGATCACCCAGTGGGAATTATAACGCGCCGTTATACGCACACAACACACGAGGCTACGCGTCGCTCGGAGCGTAAGATAACACTGCTCGCGGAAACATTGCGGGAGGGTACCCAAACAATCGGATAAAAAGCGCCTGCTGGCCCCGCTCTTCATTCACTGTTCACTGCCTGTGCGTCCGAGAAACCACAACAATCAACCCGAGTCGAAGTTTTGACCCTATGTTGAACTTTGAATTCTACACCGCAGGAGCTAAGATAGCAAAGTAGGTTTAATTCTAATGATATAATTTACTCCTTCTTTGACTCTGATGATGTCTAAAATTTCCGCTTTCGCTTTCTTTAGCGACAAAGTAGGTTGTATAATAGTAGGATCTTAGGAAGCAAAGTAGGTTTAGTTGCGAATCTCTATTGAAGCTTTAGCTTCTACATAGAATATATGTATTTTATAGAAATATTTAAAAAATTTAATAAATAACGAAATAAAAAACGAAACAGAAACGTTAAATAGCATACAAAATATACATTTTATTTGTTGCATATATTTCAGACATCATCAGGATCAAAGTAGGAGTAAATTATATCATTAGAATTAAACCTACTTTGCTATCTTAGCTCCTACTACAGTGTAAAATTCAAGGTTCAACATAAAATCAAAATTTCGACTCGAAAATGAGTGTCAATATCGTCAAAATAAGTTTCACCTAGGTTGTAGATTATCTAAGTAAGCTCAAACTATTTTTAAGAATGTCAAAGTAACGTCAAAATTTTGACAAGGTAGAGTTAAAGGTTTAAAAGAGAAGTTAATGAGTATCGTCAAAATCATCAATATCGTCAAAATAAGTTTCACCTAGGTTGTAGATTATCTAAGTAAGCTCAAACTATTTTTAAGAATGTCAAAGTAACGTCAAAATTTTGACAAGGTAGAGTTAAAGGTTTAAAAGAGAAGTTAATGAGTATCGTCAAAATCATCAATATCGTCAAAATAGGTTTTACCTAGGTTATAGATCATCGAACTATTCTTAAGAGCGTCCAAGTAGCATCAAAATTTCGACTCGGGAATACTGTCGGAACTGCCCGAATCTTCGAGGTGGTTAATGCTTTCTCCACATGTTACATTACGTTTTGAGTCGGCGAGCGATTCGCGCACCACAGCACAATGGACCAGGCAATCCGAAATTCGAAACATCAAATGACTAGACTATAAAGTCTGACTCGGGAGTTTCCGAGGGGTTTTCGGGGTTGCTGATTACGAATTTGTAGTAAAAATTACAAAATTCAAAATGATGCACAGAAAAAAAGTTGGTTGAATTAACCTAATATCTGGTCGAATATGAACGATCCAGAAATTTCGATTGATGTAACCCGAATTCTGTTCAAGTCAACTAAACATCTTGTTAACTTAAACAGAATTCGAGTTACTTCAATCGGAATTTCTGGATCGTTCATAATCGACCAGATATTTGGTTAATTCAATCAAACCTTTTTTTCCGTGTGGATTCAATATGGCGGTGAAAAGTGAGATACATCGACAAATTTGGCTATAAATGCTTACTCGGAGGTTTTTAAGGTCGTTAATTACGAATTTGTGATCAAAATTACAAAATTCAAAATGGTGGATTTAATATGGCGCCGAAAAGTGAGATATATCGAAGGATTTGGCTATAAATACTTACTCGGGAGTTTTTGAGGTCACTAAATACGAATATGATGTCTAAAGTAAAAAATTCATAGTTATAGTTATATTAAGAAAAATTAATTTATTATTGCAATTAATGCCTGGGATTTGCCTATGATAATTTTAGTTTCCAAGGTCTTTCACGTGGAGGATACAGTGCGATTTCAGACTCCTTAGAGACTTTGTACTCATCGTAGGTACAATGCATTGTACAAAATCTCTGAGGGGTCTGAAATCGCACTGCATCCTCCACGCGGAATACTCTGGAAATTACAATTATCGTAGGCAAATAGCAGGCATTTTAATAAATAAATTAATAGGTGGTAATAATAAATTAATTTTTTTAAATATAACTATAACTATAAATTTCTGCATTTAAATATATTCGTAATTAGCGATCTCCAAAACCCCTGAGTAAGCATTTATAGGCAAATCCCTCGATATATCTCACTTTTCGGCGCCATATTAAATCCGCCATTTTAAATTTTGTAATTTTGACTACAAATTCGTAATTAGCGACTTCTAAAACACCCGAATAAGCATTTATAGCCAAATTCGTCGATGTATCTTAGTTTTCGCCGCCATATTAAATTCGCCATTTTGAATTTTGTAATTTTGACTACAAATTCGTAATTAGTGACCCTGAAAACTTCGCGGAAACCCCCAAGTCAGACTTTATAATCCAATCATTTGATGTTTTGAATCTTGGCCATGATTTCGGGTCGCCTAGCCCACTGCAACGCGCAGCGAATTATCATTCAAATTCTTTAAATTATACAAAAACGAGTAAAAGTGCGCACCATATTCTTAAAATACATGTTATAAGGTATCCAATGATACTTCACTTTTTTTTATAAGTGATGGAACATAAGAGAACAATGTTTTCAAAGTATGGTTAAACTACTAAAATTCAATAATATATGATTATAACGCTCCGCCATTTCTTTTTTCTTTAATTTTAAACCTTGCGTATTATTATAATGATTTATTCAAATAAAATGATGGATGACAAGTAATAACAGATTTTTCATTTGTTGAAATACAACAATATAAATGAAATATTTGATAAACGAAATCGCTGCTTCCATACATGATTTTCAAAGTTTAAGTGTTTGCTACATATAGAAAGTAACTGATAAAATTCAACGAAACTTTAAAAATAATTAGCTTAACTTGTCAAGATAACGAAAAGATATTTGTCTGACCTCATTTTCGGAATCGACTTTTGGCCACTTTTCAGCTCTGCTGGCCCATTGTGCACAGGCAGTACGTGTGTTAGTGATTATTCCCCTCGCGAGTGATCGTAATATTTCGGCGACTCTTGCAATATTTCGTCGGGTTCTCTCGGCGTCACGGTAATTAACGCGCCTATCTCGTGGACCGAATCGTGTCTACGCGAGTGTCAGTGCCGTGAACGACGTGATGTCCGGAGTGCCATAACAAAGCAACTAGGATCTGAATGCTGGATCCGGAAGCCGGGATGGAGGACGCTGGGGATGCGAGCAGCA